ATTGGAGTTGGAGTTGGATGGCAGCAAGGCAGAGAGAGAGAGAAAGAGAGAGAGAAAGAGAAGAAACGGGAAACACTCGCCAATACAAAACACAGAACCATGCTGGTCGACCATTTTACGCTGTGCGCAGAATGATGTGGACACCCGAGTCGGTGAAGACGGGCTCGCTGAGTTCGCCAACCTGGAGAGCAAACCTGGAAACAAAAGGTGTGAGTGTGAGCGCGGGAGAATTTCAATCACGTCGACATTTGGGAGGGAAAACTTACGTGGCGTGCTCGAAAGGAGCTGCGGAGGAGGCGCACAGTAAAATCCCCGTAAAAGTGTCGCACAGCACAAAGAGAAAGACGGAAGGTGAGCGGATGAGGGGCCCACTTCCTTGTGCTCAAAGCAACAACGCCACAAACCTTGCATCTGGCCAGGACCGAAAAAGCCCAAATCGCCGCCGCTCTTGGCCGAGCTGCAGTCGCTCTCGACCTTGGCAATGTCGGCAAAGGTCTTTTCCTTGTTGACGATTTGCGCGCGCCACTCTACGCACACACACAGATGTACACGCAAACAAAAAAAGTCAGACTCGTTCAACAACAACAACAATAACAAAAAAAGTGCAAAAACCAGACGACTCACGTTGGATCATGGCGAGGGCCTCATCGCGGGTGCGAGTAATGTTCTGCGTCTTCCACGAGCTGGGACGGCGCGAATCCTTGTGCTTGGCGAGAATGTGCGATGCGCGGACTTGAGACTAGACGGCCAGAAAGCAACAAAAACCCGATCCAACGATCAGAACGATTCAGTGAGTACATCCATCCACATCATGATCCGCGAATTGCAGCGCAATGCTCTGAGCTCTTTTGGAGTCTGTTCCATTTTGCAATGGATGTTCGTTCTACTATGAGACTATGGGCCTTTCCATTACGGCTACCAGCGTTTCTTCTTACCATTGTGCTGCTGTTGCTTGCGTCGTTGCTCTCGCTCTCGTCCTCGGCGTTGCTGTTGAGTGCTGGTGGCTCCCACTGGCTCTTCTGTGTCGGAACGTGGAAGTAGTACGCGCGCTTCTTGGTTGCAGAGTGCGAATCTCCCAACCGTCTGGCAATGCGACTGGTTTGGCGGGCGCCTTGGATCTGAAGCCCCCCCCCCCG